TGGTTGTCGCAGAGGAGTGAGAAGGCGGGCAGGGTCGCAATCTTCGCTTCCTCGAGCAACTCTCGTAGGTAGAGTCCTTCCTTGGTCGCAGTACAGAGGGCGATATACTCTGCTTCAGCCGAAGATAGTGCGATTAGTTCCTGTTTGCTCGACTGCCAGGAGATAGTCCCGATAGGTTCTAGTCGGTAGATATAGCCCGTTCTCGATCGTCGATTTTCCCTGTCTCCCGCGTGGTCGGCGTCGACGTATCCGAGAAGTTGTACGGACGATGTCGTTACTTTACTGTAGGTAAGCCCGGTCGTCGGCGTGGAGACGAAGTAGAGTAGTGCCCGATTAAGTTCCTCGAGATTTTCTTGTTCCGGCTGCTTCAGATGCGTCGCCAGTTGGCTCGCGCTGTAAGATAGATCGGGTCAGCAGGTTACTGCTGCGAATAGTAGGCAGCCGAGCTTCTGCTGATACTCCTGGATTTGCTTTGCGGGGAGTTTTGCGGAGGTGTTGCTGTTGTTCCCGTAGCGGTAGGGAGTCGGGACCGTAGTCGGCGTTAGACCGAATTTCTTCGCGACAGTGCCTGCGTATTTTCTAGCGTGTAGGTAGAACGCCGAGTTGTCTTCGACGACATTCGGTCCCAGGTACTGGGTCACTGAGTCAGACACCGTGAGTGTCAAGTCCCCTTTCAGCTCCCCTTCGAACCAAGTGGCGATGTCGATGGTGGAACCGATGTAGAGCAGGTCGTCGACGTAAACGATGAGTAGGATATACTCTCTTCCCTTCTACAGTCGGTACATGCCTTGGTCATGCGGCAGCTGTAGGAATCCGATTTTTACGAGGCGACCGTGAAGATGCTGCTGCCAGAGCCGCGGGGCTTGCTTGATCCCGTAAAGGGATTTTATCAGCTGGCATACTTTTGTAGGGTCGTCGATGAATCTGTGGGGCTGCTCGACGAAGATCTCGGCGTCCACAGGTGCGTACAGGAAAGCATTTGCGACGTCGATTTGGCGCAGTGGTGGTTTCTTCGTGGCCGCGACGGCGAGTAGGATGCGCAGGGAGGTGTGACGAGAGACTGGGGCAAAGGTTTCTGTGTAGTCGGTTCCGTATCGTTGATCGAAGCCTCGTACGACCCATCGAGCTTTGAATCGTTCGATGGAGCCGTCCGCGTTGGTCTTGATGCGGTACACCCACTTTCCCGAGAGGACGTTCTTCCCGTTGATGTTAGTTGTAGGTACCAACTTCCATGTATTTCGGTCTTGAAGAGCTTTTAGTTCCTTTTCCATCGCCTCCTTCCATTTCGCCTTATGTTCCCCCCCCCAGAGCCTGCGACAGAGTCAAGGGCTCGCGCGGAGATGGCGGCGGCGGGTGCTGGACGGAGACCCATAGGCCGAGGATCTGCAGTCCCGTGGGTGTGTGTCGAGGGGAATTTTCATTCCCGGAATAAGCTGCTTCGTCACCATCTTCTGGATCAGGTAAGAAGTTTGGGCCGATGCGTTCTGAAACATTCGTGTCGACGGGGTGGGGTGTAACGTAACCTTGGTCAGCGAAGTGGTAAAACGTGTCGAGGTTGTTGCTATCGAGGGGATTGTCTTCATCGAGTGGAACAGGTACGGAATAGAAAGGGAGTGGTCCGGCAGCTTCCGAGGCTCCAGGTATGTCTTCTTCTGCTGCGTCAGTCTCGGCAGCACGGTCGGCAAAGGAACGAAGGCCCGCGAGGCCGTCTGTGGGGTCGTGTGTGTTGGCAATGTTGTCTAGGTAATGCTGCAAGATAACATCACGTGATGCCACCGTATTTTTGTCTTGTATGTCGAGGATTTTCCATGCGTGAAAATGTTTGGCGATGCCGAGGTGTAGTCCCCACCGAGCTCGTTGAGTGAAGCGTCCTGCTCGGGCTGTGTGGGGTCTGTACTGTACCATGCAGCCGAAAACTCGAAGTAATTTTGTGCTGCCCCTTTTTCGTGTCCACAGCAGGTGCGGTGATGCGTTGTTGGGAAGCGATGACGAGGACAACAGATTGTGCAGGTGGACTGCATGTGTCATCGCGTCTGGCCACAGTGTGTTGAGCAGTCTCATCCCCAGGAGCAGCTTTCGCATCGTCGTCTGCAAGGTCCGGTTCATGCGTTCTGCGACCCCCTGCTGCTGGTGAGCGTAGGGCAGAGACACCAGACGTCTGATTCCTCTTTCCGCCAGATAGGTCCTGAAGCGTTGTGACTGGTATTCCAGTGCACCGTCTGACTGGAAGCTTTTGAGCTTGGTTCCTGATTCTCGTTCGGCGATTGGGAGCCATGTCGTGCAGGCGTCGAAGGCTTGATCGCGCGTGTTGAGGTTGTAGTGCCAGACGTATCTTGTTGCTTCGTCGATAAACGTGATGACATAGTTGAAGTCGGCTTCAGTGTCTTCTCGAGGCATGTTTAAAATGTCGCTGTAGACTTTTTCCATCGGTGCGTATGCAGGTGCGCTTGGGTTATGATGGGATGGGAAAGGCTGGTGGGGAAGATCGGCTTCGGGGCACGTAAAGCACCGTGCGCGTGGTCGCCGAAGCTCTTGGCCGCTCGTTGTAAGGAGAGCGTTTCGTTCTAACACTTCGGCTTGGATGGTTTGCAGTATTGTACTGTTTGCAGGATGTCCGAGACGTTGGTGCCAGATGTCGTCGGGAGCGCGATGGCCAGGCGAGCGGTGATATATGTCGGCGTTGGAGAAGAACGCGACGACCGTGGCGGGACTTCGGCAGACTTCGCGTGTGATGGGTATAAGTTGATCTGCTTCGGTTGGCGGTCCACGGATCGTTGGCGATGGTACTTGGCTGTTCCTGCTGCTGTTACTGTAGGTGATGTGTGGGAAGAGATGCTTGCTGGTACTTGTCTTTCTTGTCTGATGACTGCTTACACTCGTGTTCTCTCTGCTGCAGGTATGGTGTTGGAGTACCAGAATCCGTCGGGGTTGAAGTCGGGGTCAAGATCCGGCGGGTGTGTCCAGGCGGCGAACGACACGATGCCATCACTGTCGGCAGTACCGCGGTCGGGGACGAAGTCCAACACGAAGACGCCTGACTTCAGGAGAGCACGACCGATGAAGAGGCCGCCCTTCCCGTGGTAAAGGCGAAACTCGTTGGAGTCCGAGTCGCACTCCATGTGAATTCCTTTTGCCATTAGCTGGCTGACGCTTAGCAGATTGTATCCCAAGTTGTCGACGATTAGAACCTTGTTGAGTTGCAGGATGACATTTGTTTCCATGGACTGTAACTGAACGACTCCTTGTTTGTTTGTTTTCAGGTTCTCGTTGTTGGCGACAGTGATGATGACGTCGCGGTTGAGGCGTCGCTCTCGTTGCACGAAGCGTCTGGAAGAACACATGTGTTGACCGCAGCAGCTGTCCAAGAACCAGGTGTTTCGCCCGGTGGGTTCGGCGTTGGCGACCGCAGCGTATGTCGGGTTGACCTGAAGTCCTTGTGAGCGCGGCGGCGGGAATTCTTCTTCGTCTGGTGCGTAAGTGGGTGGTGATCCGGGTGCGCAGTTGTCGATGTGTACCATGCAGTTGATGATGTTCGGTGTCCCTTGTGCAGATGTGGAAGAACGTCTTGGAGGGCTTTCTTGAGTTGAGGCGACTTGTGGGTCTACTGGACGATAGACACGAGGACGTGTGCAGTTGACTTTGGAATGTCCGGATGTTTGACAGTTGTGGCAGAACGGCGGCACGATGGTGAGTCCTCTGTTGTCGCGTTGATCTTGCTTGCCGCGTCGATTGTAGTTGTTGTCGTTCCTTCGTTGAGTGTAGAAAACTAACTGCTGCTGCTTCCTTGGTTGTCTTTCTTCGAACAGGTCCATCTCCTGTTGTTCAGCATGAAGCTCGGCGCAGAGGTGCATCTCCGAGATCCTTCCGTGGGCGCGAAGAAGCGAGCGTGTGGTTCTCCATTCTGGCCCGAGCCCGGCGAGGACAAGCGTCACGAAGCTTTCTTCTGTGATTGTTCCTCCGCACCGAAGCAGGCGGTCGCGGAGGGTCTGGCATCGACTCATATACTGCTCATATGGAGTCACCATTTCCGGTGCTCTTCCTGTTGTTTCTTGAGCAGCGCCGGTCTCGGTTTGCAGTCCTGAAATGTGCAATCGAGAGTTGCCGGGTTGAGTGTCTTGGGTGCTGGGTGAGCCCGTAGAGATTTTCTTGCCCTTGCTGTCCATGACTTGTAATCAATGAAGTCGTTGAATTGCAGATTGTAGATAGAGCGTAGTTGCTGGGAGTTTGGTCTCTGGCCAGCTCTCATACCATGTTGGGCTGAGAAAAGCCCTTAGGATCTTTCCAGAGACTAAGTCCCAGTTGAAGATTGAGACTTGAGTAGTGCAGCGGAAGTTGAGTAGTTGAACCCTTGTACTAGTATATGAGAACAAGTGATTGATTAAAGAAACAAGCATACAGCAATATATAGAAAATAAGAAAGCAGTTGTAGAATACAGTTGCAGGAGCGGTTATCGAGTCGCACAGCGACTCGATTGTCGCTTCGGTTACCATCCGCGCTGTTGTAACGGTCAGTCGCAACCTCCAGTTGCGACCCTTCGAGTCCCTTCGCGTTCTTTGTCCGTCCCCTCGTGTAACCTCCGTTGACTCGCGTACCCGTTGCGATCTTCCTCAAGTGTAGTGTTACACTTCAGAAACGCTTAAGCCCTTTGAGATATTTCCAACAGCATCAAATATTTGTTAGTAAAATGTAGCACTTAGGCCGTTGGCAATACAACACGAACATCGCCGATCATGCATATATGAATGAAACGACATTGCATTCCAAATTCCATATTCTATCATTTCTGTGCATGATATGATACACAAAACATTCGAAATGCATGTAGATCATTTCCAACATAACAACTCATGCACATGATCAGCAAAGAGCATCAACAACATTAAGCCCTCTACAGATGTGAAACAGAATGGTTCCTACATTGAAGTTCACAACTTTTTACCACCTAGCTTTCAAAGTGGACCGTAGTGTATCTGCTGAATCTTTCCCCTTGGGGCGGGCGTGGCTGGGTTGCTGCTGCCGCTGGATGGATGGAGGCTAGCAGCTGCTGCAGTTGGAAGCTGTCGTTTCCCAGTGCCGCCTGCTATGAGACTCTTCAGACAGTGATGCGCATGGCGATACACCAAGCCGCCCCTCCACCGCCCGTGCGGGCGGGCGATCGCGTGAGCATTGTGGCGCCGGCGGGAGCGGTGGATGACCAGCTGTTGAGGGAAGGGTGCGAGGTTCTGGCGTCGTGGTGAGAGACGCTTAGCTTGGAATTTGCTGAGCGATTGGGGCAGTGTACTGTACTGGGGATTTCGGATTAGAGCGCTAAGTAAACTACTTAGAGGGTTGTCCAAAGTTTGATGTCGGATGTCGACGACGTCGGACTGCGGTGCAGAGCAGTATGGGGCTTATCGTCACGATTTTGTGCGTTTCAGTGCGGTGAGACGACGTGGACGTCGTCGACAGGCATCTGACAACCTCTCACACCGAGTGAAATCCGCTCGTAGGCTCATTCGATCAGGTATCCCGAGCGACGATAAAGTACTTACAAGCTGTCGTTCAACCGGTGGACGCGGAGAGGCGGGGCGAGCAGTGCAGCGCGTGAGAGGCGAGGAGAGGCGGCTGCGGCCGTGAGCTTTTCCAGCAGTGCGTTCGTGCGTCTGTGCCCCAGCCTCGCCGTCCGTCTCCCTGCCGAGCGCTTACACACTCCAGCCCTGCTTCCCGCTGCTACCTCGACACCCATTTCCAGCCGTCCGACGGAGGTAGTAGCAGCCCCTAGAAGCCCACGGAGCGACCCGTAGCGGCGGAGCCATGAATCCCCGTGAAGCATCTTCAACGGCGCCGAGGCCCTCCGAGTCCTAGCTGTCGCGCAGGCAGCCACGCGCAGTCCCCTCTCCCCTCTCCCCACTCCCCTCTCCCCTCTCCCCTCTCCCCACTCCCCTCTCCCCTCTCCCCTCTCCCCGCTCCCCTCCCTCTCACCGCCTCCTACCTCCCTCTCAGGGACCTCGTTCCCGTCGTGCATCCGCAAGTCGCGCAGCGCCGAGCCTACCTCGCAGGCTCGGACCAAGCCAGAGCTGCAGCTCTGGTGGAGGCGTTTCTGGACCCGACCACGCGCGCGGTGGTGTGCGCCAGAGGCGGGTATGGCTGCGCGCGTCTGCTGCCCCTGCTGGCGGACGCCCTCAGGGCGCAAGGAGAGGGGGAATGGGAGGGCGGGGATGAGAAGGCGGAATGGGAGAGATGCGCGGAGGCAGTGTTTGGGGAAGGAGGGGCGGAGGACCAGGGCAAGGGGGATGAGAGCAGGGGGGATGAGGGCAGGGGGGAGGCAGGCGAGTGGGTGCTGGTGGGTGAAGGATTGGCGGGATGTAGGGGTATGTGTGGTGGCATTAGAGGGAGCGCGATTGTACAAGGAGGTCACGCAGTGATGGGGTGTTCAGAAGCAGGGAGTGGCGGAGGGGGAGCAAGGGCAGGGATAGCCGCATGCCATGGTGCTTGCAGACGCGGGGATCACACAGCTTGCTGCACTGCTGACGTGGCACAATGCCGTGGTACTGATGTGGCTTCCTGTTGCAGTGCTGACGTGGCAGCATGTGACATGTCATCCCTAAACTGCCGCCATGCCAGCAATTGGCATCACGCCAGCAGCAGCCGCTCGGTGCTCTCCTGGCAAATCCGCGAAAAGAGATCCTTTGGCTTCAGCGATATCACTGCACTGCACAGGTGAAGATTAAGCGCGCACAGGTGAGGGTGAAAAGATGCGTTCACTCTTTTGAAACTCAACAGAGCTCTCTACCTTTCTCATCAGGTTATGTCAACCTCACATCATCAGGCCTTCTTTTTTCCATCCCCCCCCCCATCCCCCCTGCCTCCCCCTTCTTCTCCACTTTTGTCTCCTCGCCGCTCCTCTCCCTCCCCCCCCCCGGTCAGTTTCTTCCAGGCGGAGCTCGCAGCGCCCTTCGTGTCCTTCCATGCGCCCATGCCAGCCACGCCTTTCTTCACCCACCAATCAGCAATTGCCAGCAGAGCAGCCCTCCGTGCGGCTCTTTTCGAACCCTCCCTGGCTTTCGCCTGCCCCCCCCTTCAGGTGATCGTCAGGTGCCCTACAGGTGAGATCAGTCAGGTGCCCATCAGGTGCTCTTTAGGTGCCGCCAGGTGCCCTCCCCTTCTGTCCCTCTAGGTGTGCCCCCCTTGCAATTCCCTTCAGGTGCTTACCATAATTTCTGGCGATGTCCCCTGGGTTGTGCACGTCTTGGTCCTTGCCCCGTGTTTTCCTCTCACGGCCTCTCTTCAGCCTGCCCTCTCTCCTTGCTGCGGCGCATCAGCTGGGCGTCATGGCTGATGGCTACAGAGTGCACTGGACTTGCTCATGCTCTGCAGTGCAACGCCACCAGTTCCCCACCTGCCCGGACTTTACACAGATTGGACATCCGTTAGAATTCCGAGAGCAGTACCTCAACCCCACTTCCCTGCGCTCTGCCCTTCAACCCCGTCACACCCCCACCCACCCCCACCGAACCCCACCCCCACGGCCACCCCCACCCCCTTTTCCTTCCTCCTGCCTTCCTACGACCCAGGGCCGCTCTCTGCAGCGTGGCTCGCTGGGCAGCTCCTCTCCCTGCCACCCAAACCGAGTGCGAGGCCAGCTACTGGGTGGCAATTTGTCTGTTCTGGCGGCTCTGGTGGGGTCCAGATGGGCGATGGGCCGGCAAGGCACGCGCTGTTGCTGCAGTGGTGGCTGCATGGGGGGCAGTGATGCAGTGATTCTGATGCTTGAGGATGGTGAGGTGGGTGATGGGATGCCATGCAACCGGATGGGATGCGGTGGGGTGGGGTGGCACAGCATGGCATGATGTGAGCCTTGCTCTTGTTTGCCTCTTTCTACTCCCTGACTCTCACATTCATCTCTCTGCCCTGCAAGGTCGCCCGTTCATTTCCAGTTGGCGCCTGCGTTTGCACGAAAGCGCATCATCCATTTTCTGGCATGAGCGCGCAATCTCAAGGCATCCGTTGGCATGGCAATCCCTGTCTGTATCCCCATCCGTCACTCCTCCAATCTGCTCTCCATGCTCCGTGTGCCGCGTTGCAGTGAACGAGGAGGAGTACCGCGTGGATCGCATGGTGCACCAGCTGTTGCCCTCGCTGCTGCCACCCCCGCCGCCTGCGTGCCATGCCACCGTGCACAGCAACTCCGATGCTGCGTCATTGAGACACGTGGGCCCACACCAGCCTGCATGTGCTGCTACTTGTTACGGCGCACGCCATGGCACAGGGGAGCACATGACTGCCATCTCGGGGCTGGTTCTGGGAAGCTTCACTAACTTTCATGGCATGAGTCGCGAGGCCAGAGGTAAGAAGAGGCTGCATGGCTTACTGTTGCAGATGCTTCAGCGGTGCATGCAAATGACCAGCCTAAAGCCTCTGGTGGTGCTGCTGATTCTGCTGTGAGGTTGTGCTGCCAGTCTTGTCTGTGGAGTGGAGGGGGCTGGGTCCGAGGAACGACCGGCATGAAGGCACACTTGTTCTGCCTTGCTCTCACTCGCTGCCTCCATGCCCACAGCACCTTTCCTCACACCCCATGCAACTTCGTCTGCACCTCTCACCACCATCCAGGTACACCGGTTGGAGTTGTGTTTCGCTAGGTATGTCTAACTGCGTTTCTCTTGCTGCATGCTGTTGCTACTGCGCTGGTCGGATCTGCATATTCTTACAGGATTGCCTATTCATGTGCCCCATCCCATCCCATCCCATCCCAGACAGTGTGCGGCCGGTTGTGATGGAGCAATACGGAGGCGACTGGGAGCAGTGGTTCTGGCTGGGCCAGATGGAGCTTCCTCATTGGCTGCCTGTGCTCTCAGGGCTGCCCATCGGTCATACGGAGGACAACAGAGTGGCGGCTATTGGGGCTCTGGTTGAGATAGATGTGGACAATGGAACGTTGACAACGTTGTAGCAGTGAAGTTTTAATGTTTGAAGTGCATAAAGGTAATAACAAGGCTCGACGCCAATGCGTCGTTAGGGTTGCGTAGCAGCTTAATAGAATCCTGAAATGAAAGAGCAATTCTCTCATGCGAATAAATAGGTAAGAGAGTTCGTTTGTAAGGTAAGCTATGTGCAATTGTTTTTCAGATTGGATATGAGCGTGAACGTGATTTGAAGCCATTAGGGGATTTTGATGAGAAATGTATAAACGAGAACAATGCCATGGGTTTTCTACAAATCTCCACATGAAAAAAAGGTTTGGTTGAAAAACAACATCAAATGGTGATTATGGATGCAAGGCGTGTACTTGTCTGTAGCTATTAGAACTTATGCATTTTTGTAGAGACGAGAGGAAAAATATATTTACTGTTGTGGCTTTTTATTCAAGCTTGACTTTTTAGTTGCAGTGTTTCACGTGGGATGATGGTACATTATGGCACACCGTCAAGACGATTGGTTCGTTTTGACGTTGACAGTCAAATTGCAGTGTGACTCCATCTCTTCTCGAAATTTATTGGAACCGTGAGTTTTTAGTTGCATGAGTTCACTATCAGCCGAAGGCGGACTGTAGAGTCGTTTGCTGAATTCCTAAGCAAACTTGGGCAGTTTTTTTTTTGGGTTGCGTATTAGTTTGTTTAGATCTTGACTGTCAAGTTGCAGTTTGACTGTGCTGTTTGCCGGAACCACAGGCAAAGAACGTTCACTGTAGTCGAAATTTGCTAAACATTGACTGTTTATTTGCATGCTGTCAAGCGAAGGCAAGAACGTTCGCTGTACACTTTTTATTCTATTTGGTCTCACAGTTTTTGCACGCGACTCAAACCTGTAAGCAGGAAATAGTAAAACACAAGGCTCGACGTGAATCGTCGGATGGCGTATGCCTAAAATTTTCCCGTTCACAACTCAAGTTAGTATTTCCCCCCCACCCTTTTCTTTTCATTTGGGTTGTGCATAAAGCTTTTGTGAGTAAAATACTACAAGATTAATGTAGCATGTAACATTAATAACTACTGCAATAATTTACGGTTTCATATAAAAGAAGTGTTGTATTTCTGAAGTATTCGTTTAGATCGGCGGTTTCGTTTCGGGCGGGAACGATTGATTTATCTGCTTCGTGACTGTAACGCTGTACAGTCTCTCACGTTCGACGGGACTCGCTCTCCGTGCGAGAATACAAACCTGAACCAAACTTGAGGTGAGTGTAACAGAAATTAGACTGTAATACATGCTATTTAATAGAATACTTGGGTGTAGTAACTTTGCTGAATTGTACTTGGTTTAGCTTTCTGGGGCAAAGCGAATACGCCCCTGGTAGGGCTTGTTGGAGCTTCTTGCTTCTGCTCGTCCTTCCCACTTACTGTACTGTACCTAGTTCTTGCTCTTTCGTTCGTGCCTAGTTCTTGCTCGTGTAGGTCAGTCCTCACCTAGTTGCTTACACCTAGTTCTTGCTTACTCCTTGTACTTGCTCACGCCTAGTACTTGCTCACGCCTAGTCCTTGCTCACACTGACTTCCTTGCTCACACCTAGTCCTAACTCAAAACTAACTCTTTTCCCTTATCATGCCTAACTGCCACCTGGCGCGGAGCCCGTAACCCGTTTCGCGCTGGCCCGTTTTGCGCTGGCGACTTGCGCGCTGGCGCGTTCCTCACTGTCGCCTTGCACGCTAGCACCTTCCACGCTGGCGCGTCTCGCGCTGGCGCCTTGCGCGCTGGCGCGTTTCGCGCTGGCGCCTTGCGCGCTGGCGCCTTGCGCGCTGGCGCGTTTCGCGCTGGCGCGTTTCGCGCTGGCGCCTTGCGCGCTGGCGCGTTTCGCGCTTGCGCCTTGCGCGCTGGCGCCGTGCGTGCTGCCACCGTGCGCGCCGGGGCTGCCGCCGTGCTCGCCGGCGCCGTGCGCGCTAGTGCCGTGCGCTCTCTCCTCTCTCCTCTCTCCTCTCTCCTATCTCCTCTCTCCTATCTCCTCTCTCCTCTCTCCTCTCTCCTCTCTCCAATCTCCTCTCTCCTCTCTCCTATCTCCTCTCTCCTCTCTCCAATCTCCTCTCTCCTATCTCCTATCTTCTCTCTCCTATCTCCTCTCTCCTATCTCCTCTCTCCTATCTCCTCTCTCCTATCTCCTATCTCCTATCTCCTCTCTCCTCTCACCTCTCTCCTCTCTCCTATCTCCTCTCTCCTATCTCCTATCTCCTATCTCCTCTCTCCTCTCACCTCTCTCCTCTCTCCTATCTCCTCTCTCGTATCTCCTATCTCCTATCTCCTCTCTCCTCTCACCTCTCTCCTCTCTCCTATCTCCGCTCTCCTATCTCCTATCTCCTATCTCCTCTCTCCTCTCTCCTATCTCCTCTCTCCGCCCCACACCTCCCTCCTTCCCCGATTCTGCCCCTACCGTGTCTCACCTCACCCTCTCAGGTCAATGCTTTCAACCTCGCAGCAGCCAGCAGTGTGACTCGGTGCAACACTCTGTGCCTCGCCTTTTCTCCGCCCCACACCCTCCTTTCCTTACCCTGCCTGTCCCTACCGTGTCTCTCCTCACCCCCTCAGGTGAATGCGTTCAACCCAGCAGTAGTGGGCAACGTGATGTGCCGCAACCTTATCAACATTAACTGGTGCGTGTGTATGGGCATGGCATGCCCGGCTGTATGTGTGTATGGGGATGGCATGCCTAGCTGTATGTGTGTATGGGCATAGCATGCCTGGCTGTATGTGTGTATGGGCATAGCATGCATGGCTGTATGCATGTATGGGCATAGCATGCATGGCTGTATGCATGTATGGGCATAGCATGCATGCCTGTATGCATGTACGGGCATAGCATGCCTAGTTGTATGCGTGTATGTGAATAACGTGCCTGGCTGTACGCATGTAGGGGCATAGCATGCCAGGCTGTTTTGTGTGTATGGGCATACCATGCCGGGCTGTATGTGTGTATGGGCATAGCATACCTAGTTGTATTGTATGCATGTATGGGCGTAGCATGCATGGCTGTATGCATGTATGGGCATAGCATGCTTGGCTGTATGTGTGTATGGGCATGGCATGCTTGACTGTATGTGTGTATGGGCATAGCATGCCTGGCTGTGTGTGTGTATGGGCATGGTAGGCCTGGCTGTATGTGTGTATTTGGATGGGATGCCTAGCTGTATGTGTGTATGGGCATAGCATGCATGGCTGTATGCATGTATGGGCATAGCATGCATGGCTGTATGCATGTATGGGCATAGAATGCCTGGCTGTATGTGTGTATGGGCATAGCATGCCTAGCTGTATGCGTGTATGTGCATAACGTGCCTGGCTGTATGCATGTATGGTCATAGCATGCCAAGCTGTACGCGTGTATGGGCATGACATGCCAGGCTGTGTGTGTGTACGGGCATGGCATGCCTGACTGTATGTGTATATGGGCATAGCATGCCTGGCTGTGTGTGTGTATGGGCATGGTATGCCTGGCTGTATGTGTGTAAGGGGATGGCCTAGCTGCATGTATGTATGGGCATGGCATGCCTGGCTGTATGTGTGTATGGGCATAGCATACCTAGTTGTATGCATGTATGGGCATAGCATGCATGGCTGTATGCATGTATGGGCATAGCATGCTTGGCTGTATGTGTGTATGGGCATAGCATACCTAGTTGTATGCATGTATGGGAATTGCATGCATGGATGTATGCATGTATGGGCATAGCATGCATGGCTGTATGCATGTATGGGCATAGCATGCATGGCTGTATGCATGTATGGGCATAGAATGCCTGGCTGTATTTGTGTATGGGCATAGCATGCCTAGCTGTATGCGTGTATGTGCATAACGTGCCTGGCTGTATGCATGTATGGGCATAGCATGCCAAGCTGTACGCGTGTATGGGCATGGCATGCCTGGCTGTGTGTGTGTATGGGCATGGTATGCCTGGCTGTATGTGTGTAAGGGGATGGCCTAGCTGCATGTATGTATGGGCATGGCATGCCTGGCTGTATGTGTGTATGGGCATAGCATACCTAGTTGTATGCATGTATGGGCATAGCATGCATGGCTGTATGCATGTATGGGCATAGCATGCTTGCCTGTATGTGTGTATGGGCATAGCATACCTAGTTGTATGCATGTATGGGCATAGCATCCATGGCTGTATGCATGTATGGGCATAGCGTGCAGGGCTGTATGTGTGTATGGGCATAGCATGCCTAGTTGTATGCGTGTATGTGCATAACGTGCCTAGCTGTATGCATGTATGGGCACAGCATGCCAGGCTGTACGCGTGTATGGGCATGGCATGCCAGGCTGTGTGTGTGTATGGGCATGGAATGCTTGGCTGTATGTGTGTATGGGCATAGCATGCCTAGCTGTATGTGTGTATGGGCATGGTATGCCTGGCTGTATGTGTGTATGGGGATGGCATGCCTAGGTGTATGCGTGTATGGGCATAGCATGCCTGGCTGTATGTGTGTATGGCGAAGCATACCTAGTTGTATGCATGTATGGGCATAGCATGCATGGCTGTATGCATGTATGGGCATGGCAGGCATGGCTGTATGTGTGTATGGGCATAGCATGCCTAGTTGTATGCATGAATGTGCATAACGTGCCTGGCTGTACGCATGTATGGGCATAGCATGCCAGGCTGTATGTGTGTATGGGCATAGCATGCCTGGCTGTATGTATGTATGGGCATAGCATGCCTAGTTGTATGCGTGTATGTGCATAACGTGCCTGGCTGTATTCATGTATGGGCATATCATGCCAGGCTGTATGTGTGTATGGGCAGGGCCTGCCTGGCTGTGTGTGTGTACGGGCATGGCATGCCTGACTGTATGTGTATATGGGCATAGCATGCCTGGCTGTGTGTGTGTATGGACATGGTATGCCTGGCTGTATGTGTGTATGGGGATGGCATGCCTAGCTGTATGTGTGTTGTATGGGCATAGCATGCCTGGCTGCATGTGTGTATGGGCATAGCATACCTAGTTGTATGCATGTATGGGCAAAGCATGCATGGCTGTATGCATGTATGGGCATAGCATGCATGGCTGTATGCATGTACGGGCATAGCATGCATGGCTGTATGCATGTACAGGCATAGCATGCATGCCTGTATGCATGTACGGGCATAGTATGCCTAGTTGTATGCGTGTATGGGCATAACGTGCCTGGCTGTACGCATGTAGGGGCATAGCATGCCAGGCTGTTTGTGTGTATGGGCATGGCATGCCTGGCTGTATGTGTGTATGGGCATAGCATACCTAGTTGTATTGTATGCATGTATGGGCGTAGCATGCATGGCTGTATGCATGTATGGGCAAAGAATGCCTGGCTGTATGTGTGTATGGGCATAGCATGCCTAGTTGTATGCGTGTATGTGCATAACGTGCCTGGCTGTATGCATGTATTGGCATAGCATGCCAGGCTGTATGTGTGTATGGGCATAGCATGCCTGGCTGTGTGTGTGTGTGGGCATGGTATGCCTGGCTGTATGTGTGTATGGGGATGGCATGCCTAGGTGTATGTGTGTATGGCGAAGCATACCTAGTTGTATGCATGTATGGGCATAGCATGCATGGCTGTATGCATGTATGGGCATAGTATGCATGGCTGTATGCATGTATGGGCATAGCGTGCATGGATGTATGCATGTATGGGCATAGAATGCCTGGCTGTATGTGTGTATGGGCATAGCATGCCTGGCTGTATGCGTGTATGTGCATAACGTGCTTGGCTGTATGCATGTATGGGCATAGCATGCCAGGCTGTACGCGTGTATGGGCATGGCATGCCTGGCTGTGTGTGTGTATGGGCATGGTATGCCTGGCTGTATGTGTGTAAGGGGATGGCCCAGCTGCATGTATGTATGGGCATGGCATGCCTGGCTGTATGTGTGTATGGGCATAGCATACCTAGTTGTATGCATGTATGGGCATAGCATGCATGGCTGTATGCATGTATGGTTATAGCATCCTTGCCGGTATGTGTGTATGGGCATAGCATACCTAGTTGTATGCATGTATGGGCATAGCATCCATGGCTGTATGCATGTATGGGCATAGTTTGCAGGGCTGTATGTGTGTATGGGCATAGCATGCCTAGTTGTATGCGTGTATGTGCATAACGTGCCTAGCTGTATGCATGTATGGGCACAGCATGCCAGGCTGTACGCGTGTATGGGCATGGCATGCCAGGCTGTGTGTGTGTATGGGCATGGCATGCCTGGCTGTATGTGTGTATGGCGAAGCATACCTAGTTGTATGCATGTATGGGCATAGCATGCATGGCTGTATGCATGTATGGGCATAGCATGCATGGCTGTATGCATGTATGGGCATAGCATGCATGGATGTATGCATTTATGGGCATAGCATGCCTGGCTGTATGTGTGTATGGGCATAACGTGCCTGGCTGTACGCATGTAGGGGCATAGCATGCCTGGCTGTATGCATGTATGGGCATAGCATGCCTGGCTGTATGTGTGTATGGGCATAGCATACCTAGTTGTATTGTATGCATGTATGGGCGTAGCATGCATGGCTGTATGCATGTATGGGCATAGCATGCTTGGCTGTATGTGTGTATGGGCATGGCATGCTTGACTGTATGTGTATATGGGCATAGCATGCCTGGCTGTGTGGGTGTATGGGCATGGTAGGCCTGGCTTCATGTGTGTATTTGGATGGGATGCCTAGCTGTATGTGTGTATGGGCATAGCATGCCTGACTGTATGTGTGTATAGGCATGGCATACCTAGTTGTATGCATGTATGGGCATAGCATGCATGGCTGTATGCATGTATGGGCAGAGCATGCATGCCCGTACGGCATAGCATGCCTAGTTGTATGCGTGTATGTGCATAACGTGCCTGGCTGTACGCATGTAGGGGCATAGCATGCCAGGCTGTTTGGTGTGTATGGGCATACCATGCCGGGCTGTATGTGTGTATGGGCATACCATACCTAGTTGTATTGTATGCATGTATAGGCGTAGCATGCATGGCTGTATGCATGTATGGGCATAGCATGCTTGGCTGTATGTGTGTATGGGCATGGCATGCTTGACTGTATGTGTGTATGGGCATAGCATGCCTGGCTGTGTGTGTGTATGGGCATGGTAGGCCTGGCTGTATGTGTGTATTTGGATGGGATGCCTAGCTGTATGTGTGTATGGGCATAGCATGCATGGCTGTATGCATGTATGGGCATAGCATCCATGGCTGTATGCATGTATGGGCATAGAATGCCTGGCT